GAAGATGTCGGGAGGCCAGCCCAGCCTGGCGTGCAAGCCCTGGCTGCTCTCACAGTGGGCAAACCCCAGAAGTCCATGAGATCTGCACCACGAGTCTGTGCCCCAAGGGTGGCACTGGGGCTGCTGCCCTCAGACCCCAAAGGAGGAGCCAAGAGCTTGTTTCTAAACCGCTCTGGTGAACAGCTCTGTTGGGCTCCAGGAGGAGTTTTGCCCTCGCTGGCAAAATGCCTTTTGTGACGATAGTCAGTGCTCCAGCTAAACACCAGCGTGAACCAGCGGTGCGGCGGCAAAGCCTGGGGACTCACCTGCTGGGCTCTGGGGAGCCGAGGGACGGGTCTGGGACTGTCGGGGCCGTGAGGTCCTGCCTGAGGACTGTCTCCACATGATGCTTTGAAACTTCAGCAACTGTGAAACAGGGCAGATACTTTACAAGACCCTCTGGAGCTTGTGGCCTGAGGCACAGAGCTGGACAGACTGAAATCCGTCCAGGTGACACCCTCCCATCCCTTACCAGTCCCCCTGTTACTAGCTCTAGACAGGGGATGAGGAAAGTGAGCTGATTAATGGCACAAGTCTCCGGTGACAGTGTTTTGGTATTTCACAGCCGGCTCAGCAGATGCTGCTGCCTCCCCTCCCTGCTGACGGCATGGGAGATACGGGGTCTGGACTTACGGTAGCTCAGTCCTGATGGGGTGAGGATGCCCCCGCAGTCCGGTGCCCTGGTGGTGTGAGCGGGGACCAGGAGGCTCAGGAGGATGCTCAGGGTGCGGAGCGTCGCCGTGCCGGCGCCTGGAGGAGGAGGGCACCCGCAGAAGCCCGGTCAGAGCAGCGTGGCCCTGGCCCGGCTGCTGAGGCACGGAGCCATGCTTGGGAGCCACAGATCCGCTCCTGGGTTGGGTTTGTGGTCCTGAGCTTGTCAGCTTTTGTGCAGCACCACCACACAGCTCTCACGTGGTGCCTGAGGCACTCGCAGGAGTCTCAGCCTCACAACGCCCCTGCCAGGCTGTAAGCTGGAGCTATGCTTGCAGCTGGTTTGTGCCTGCTGCAGAGCACAGAACAGCCTACAGCTGGAATAAAACAGGAGCTAGGGTTGGGTGAGGAATGGCTGGAAGCTATAGAGGAGGCTAAAATCAAATAAAAAGGTGAAAGTGTTGTCAACCATTTGGGAATTGTATATAATGTTTGTAATGCTCTTACAATATCAGGAAAATAAGTGATCCAGGAAGTTTAACCTGCAGAAAACACGTATTTACATCAGTCTTTGCAGAAAGAGGACTTCTGATGAGAAGCGACCCTTACAGAGACACACCAAAGTAAGTACAAGCGATGCCTGTATCAAGCTATTCAGTTTGCAAACGCATCTTTACCTTTCCTGGCCAGTTGTCTCATCCTTCTGACTCAGCCCGTGTCTTGCTGTGGCCCCACCAAGGAACTGAGCTGGCTTTATATATCCTCACAACCAAGACTGATGGGGCAGAAATTGGCAGATAGGGGCTGGAAACCAGGACACCGGGCGGGCGCTTTGTTTTACAGCCCGTTTTTATTGTTTCCCCATATACTTGGTGACATTGGCCGTTGACCCGGCGAGGTGAACGATTGAACAGCAGGTGCTGGGGCAGTTTGTCTTTGTTGTGGCGTTCCAGAGGAGCACAAAGGAAAGTCTCTGGGTGGAGGGTGCCAAGAAATCAAACACTGTTAGAAAGTGAACATCGGTTTCTTCGCTCTGCGCCCGCGCTTTCTTCCGAACACCACAGGGACAGCCGCCACCATGGCCACACCAGCAAGAGGCTGCTGTGGTTGTGTTGCTCTCCCAGCTGGGCATCTCAGACGATGAGACCTGCACGTGTCGTGCTGAAGGAGGTCTTGGCCGCTCACCAAGGATGCCCTCCAGTTCCATCAGGCCTGGGTAAGTCTGTGGGAGGCAACAGGAGTGTTTCTGTTGGGTTCAGTGAGAAGATCAATCATTTTAAGGTATCTTCTCTAACCTCTGGTGGAATGGCCCACGTACAACAATTCCTTCCTCTCTTTAACAAATTCCCAATCAAAAGCCACCAACAACATTTATTACAACTGGTATAAAAACCGATGGGTGATGTCCCCCCTCTTTTGATAACGTCTCCACAAGCAGCGAAAGCGTTCATGGGAGGGAGCCAGAGGCCCTCTCCTTCCTGTGCTTGGGGTCCCTTGTGTTTTCCTGGCTTTCTTTCGCTCTAGAGGACAGAGTGTTGACTACCTGCAAATGCCATGTAAGCCCGTCCTCCCTGGTCTCGCCCAGCTCCCCATGCTCCGTGTTCTGACTTTCCCCCACGCCCCAATATTTGTGATCTCAGCTTTGAGGCACAACCGGTCTTCCAGAGAGGGTTGAATTGCCCATTTTGGTCTGAATCCCTTGGCAATGGGGTGAGGTGTCCAGCGCTTGTTGAAACACCTGCAGCAGGGAGGCGGCCATTGTCCTTTGTGCCTCGGCGAAGTGAGTTATTGGGCGCTGGTTCCAGGTGCATCTTGGCAGGTTCAAAGCCTTTGGCTCTCGCCAGTGCCCTGTTGCTTTCCTTCTCAGCATGACAGAGAAATGCCAAGAAAAGCAGCGTTTCAGCCACGCTGTGCATTTCCAGTGAAGGCATCCAGACAGCAGTGTCAAGAGAAAATATGAAGATATATATCTCGCAGCCTGCCCAGGGAGAGCAGGATTTACACTTCTGCGCTGATCTATGCAGCCCACTTAGAGGCAAGAAATGTGTTCAGAAAAGTAAATCCATTGAGAAGGTTGTAACCTGCAGACGAGTCCCCTGGGGCCACGAGAGGCGTTTTGTGGCATCTGATATTTGTAGGGACATGGGCACAACCCAGAAAAGTCTCTGAGAAATAAGTCTCCACTGTGTTTTAGAGCAGAGGTTGGAAATTTGCCCCTGCCTTAGCTTGTTCCAGCACAGGTAATAGAGGCAGCTCTTCCCGGCGCAGTACTGGAGATTTATCTGTGGAGCGTTATTATCATTTACAGTGGTGCAAGGGTCAGGGGATAAGCTGCGGGGATGAGATGGCACCATGGTGCTTAGAGGTGGATTTTCTCCTCCTGAAGAGCTCTTCTGGACCCAATGAGCCCTGTGGAGGCTTAATTAGATGTCAGCTTATAGCATAATGACTGATCAAGTTACTAGCACAAAAGTGTCTTTCTGGCATGATGCGTTCCTTATCGGGAGTTATCTATAAATCTTACACTCCTCTTAGATAAGATGTAAATCTCCCTGTCTGGGCTCAGCAGAGCCACCAAGCACCCCACTGGGAGGGAGGTAATGACAGATTAAACCTCATGACACGTTTTACACAGAAATGAAAAGAAATAAATTACTCAGTGCTGCAGGATCCCACCGAGTGAACTCCCAGAGCCTGGTCCTGCTGGGAGGTGAACCTGCGGGGTGACGGGTGGGGACACCGTGGTGGCTGCGAGCCCCAGCTCAGGTAGGGCTGGTGCCGCAGTGGTGGCAGCAGCATGGCCAGCCCAGAGTTGAGCTTCGTGCAACCTGGCTGCAGCCTGGTGGGACCCATGGCTCTCCTGCGGTGGATGGGGCCGAGAAGCCCGTTCTCTGTGCAGGTGACAGTTCTGCTGAAATCAGTAAGAATATTACTGAGATCATCACAGTTTCCACTGGGTTATCCGCCAGCTGACCCCATGTCCTCTCAGAGGCTCCATGAATCTTTGGGGTGCGAGAGCCATTCAACTTGAGAGCCACAGTTACATGGGTGCCTCCAAAAGCAGAATTTACCATGACATGTCTTGGGTTTCTCCTCGGCCCCCCTTCTGTCCCTACCATGTCATTAAACAGATCAGGTTTTTCTTTTGGACTTGTCCAAGTCTCTGTGGGTGTTGAGCAAGAGCTCTGGCTTCAGCCTGCTGGGAGCACTTGCTGGTACCTGAGGCTTGAGGGATTGCCCGGACTTTCAAATTTATTAATGAATTTATTTGTTTTGGCATGTGTCAGAAGCACTCGGGGATTAGCTTACACCACAGTAGTTACCCAACCCTTTACTGCTTTTGTTTTCCTTTTTTCTCCTTCAGGGCTCATATACAGGCTGCTTCTTGCCTCTCTCCAGAAGATCAGCAAAAACTTGGACAACTTCTGGGGGCTCTCCGGGCGAGGTGACGGCAGGGCCCTTCCCTGCAGGAGTCCCCGTTGTGGCGAGGTGCAGCAGTTCACACCAGTTCCCTCCAGTGCAAGGGAGAGGTGGGAGGCCGAGCTGGAGCAGGCTGGTGGAGCCGTGTCGACAGCCTGTGGAAAGGCTCGTCACACCTCGTGCCACGGCCACCAGCCGTGGGCTCTCCTGCTGCTCCTACAGCCAGGGCTCGGGGTGGCCCTGAGATCTGGAGGTCCACGTGCTCCATCAGGCAGCTCCAGCCCGTTCTCTGCAGCGGGTTTTAGGCATCACGAGCAGCTCTGGTGCTTGTGGAAGGGGAAAGCTTAGTGCCCCACTTGGGTACCAGCCACAGGGCGGGTGGTGCGGGATGCAGGCACGTCCTGATGGGGCTGCTCTGGGGTGTTCACAGATGCCTGAATTTTGGGGAGCGATTCCTCTGTTGAGGCTGTGTTTCGGCCGGTGTAGCTCTGCCGGACTTGCAGGGATCTGGTCGCTTTCCTCCAGCGTGAGGCAGCCTTTGGCCCCTGATGTTCAGAGCCACCTCCATCTCACTGTCTCTCTCTGTCTGTTGAAGCCCGTGCGCTCCTGTAAGCCTCTGCCGCCCCTGGAGCTCAGTGAGCAGCCGTACTGGATGGGAACATGCCAAGGGTTTGGTGCATTTTATTCCTTGGCGGCTGGCTGGCGTGGTCAGGAGGAGCTGCTGGCCTGGGAGCTGTCATCAGGATCGACCTTGGAACGATTGA